TGCCCTTAGAAGGCAGAGCCTGCCTAAGTCCAGCGCAGGGTGTACAGGGAGGGCCAAGGGTGGGATACTACCCTTTTAGCACAGTAACCTCATCCACTAGTAATTGGGCAGTGTCTTGGACTCTGAGTAATCAGAGGGACCTTCAGTGCCCCCTCCCCAACATGAGTGGGTAGGTTAAGTTAGTAGTTTGCTCTTACAGGTATATAAGAAATGGTGAATAAGCCTATTGTGTAGAGTTAAGTTTTAAATTAGCATCAGTTTTCAAGGGTGTCAGGTTGATTGTTGTAGAGATTGCCTTTAACACTTGATACAAAATCTGAGCATTTTTCAGACCTCAACCCAGAACAGTAGATTCCTGAAATTAAGATTCATATTGGTAAGAAAGAAGACCTGTATATTTCCCTGTCCCCATCCCCAAAGGCCAGTGGATCATTTTCCGCATGCCTAACTCCATTCATAGCTAATATGTGGATTGAGGACTTTATTCCAAAACACTTAGGTTCTATATTCTTCCTTAGCCCTTTGAAGATCATTGTGACTTTTCAGACTATTGTAGTGAAGGCTCAACCTGACCGCTTCTCCTCCTTTCAGGATTTGGCAGAGAGAACGGCCGTGTGACAATTGAATATTATTCACAACTGAAGACTGTGTGCGTGGAGATGGGTGATGTGGAATCTGCTTTTTGAAAACCTGCAGTGAAACCTACTGACATGGCCAGGCTGTAGAATGATGCGAATTGGCCCTGTTTACAGAGGCAGTACAACTGAATGTTATTTTTAAATTCAGAATTTTGGCATTCAGGATAAGAGAATGGTTCATGTTACTCTTTCTCTGTCCATCAGCTTCGTCACTGAAAATGTGCATTAAGTGCCTTGTAGATAGTAATCAAGAAAGTTGGCATTCTCCTCAAAGTATATTTTTGTGAAATCTTTTAAGAGCCAGTAACATACTTCTAGAGAGCAGGAAACGGGACTGGGATAATACATCTTCCACACATTTGGCCCACTGACAATGTTAATTCTCTGGCGTATTTCAAAGAACTTGTTCCTGGCTGATCCAAGTGCAGTGGTATTTACAACTAATTGATCACAACCAGTTTCTAGATTTCTTTGTTCCTTCTCCATTCCCACTGCTTCACTTGACTAGTCTTGAAAAACAACAACAACAACAACAACAAAAAACATCTTGTTCCTTTGTAGGTTCCTGGTAGAATCAATAGAGATGATTTCAGCTCATTGACTTTCTTTTAAGCTATATCCCCTTGTCATTTCATTGAGAAAGCTGATAACCGGGATAGGGAGGGGATTAGATAATAGACGGGGTCAAATTCTGTGTGAATGTTAACTTGCCTAGTAAGCACTTTGTCTCTGTTCACTACTGCAATAGAGGAAACCTATCTCCCTATCTTGGGTCCTTGAACTACAGCCTGCTGTCTTACACCAGCAGAGCTACCCTTTAAATGTACAAATTATTTGTACGCTAATGTCATATGGTGAAATTAAAATAAATCACACTGCTAATTCTTTTGCTTTCGTGTTTTGAAACTAAACATATCTTGAGGTTATAGGAGGACAGAGGATAGGGCTGATGTTAAAAGCACAAGGCGGGGGGATTTGATCTTTGCAGTAAGAACAAAAGGACAGGTTTGGGTGCGGTGATGAACTTTTTATGGTCCAGGTAAGCATCAGGCTCCATGTGCATTCTCACCTGGATAAGCAGTGCCTGTCCCTGAAGAGCTGTCAGATCACTGTGGCTTTTCAGACTATTGCAGTCATGCCTCACTCTGCCCCCTTCTCTTCCTTTCAGGAGAAGAGTTTATAAATCATAGCTAATTTAGTAGTCAGAGATAAGGGATGCTTGTTGTCACTGGGCCTGGATCTAGTTATGTATTATGATGAGCAAGTACTGTAGTTTTAGAGCATAAGAACAACCAAATCAGCCTTTCTTGGTGTTTCTTTGCACAGAGGATACATATGTGATACTGGACAAAGCCAATAGCAATATCTTACCCTGTGTCCGAGGGGATCCTGTGCACCTTAAGCAGTAGGAGCTGCCTGGAAGAAGATAAGTTTCTGATAGTCCCTCTAAAGCAAGCTTGTCCAGTCTGCAGCCCACGGTCCATATGTAGCCCAGGACAGCTTTGAATGCAGCCAAACACAAATCTGTAAACTTTCTTAAAAAAAATCGCAAAAAACTTTTTGCTGAACGAGCTACACCAGCAGGTGGCTCTCGTGCTTCCTACCACCATTTGCATGGCTACAAGACCCCTGGTAGGCACTGTGCATGTATTACTGTTTGATCCTCACGAACTTTATATGATAAGTGTTTTCGTTATCTCCAACTTACAGCTGTGTAAGCTGAGGCTTAGGGAGGCTAATAAGCTTGCCCAAGGGCACACAGGCACCTGAAGGTGGGAATACTTAAGGTTCACTATGGCTCAGTTAGGCATTTATAGGCTGGCATGGCTGTCTGATTTTCATCTAGCAAAACTCAGCATGTGTTTCCCTTATACACATAAATGGACTGTTTGGAATGTACACTGCCAATAGATTAGTAGTTAATGGTAGAAATACTTATGCCAAGTTTTTCCCCACAAGACAAGGGACTAGCTTGTAAGAGTTATTCTCTAAGCAGTCTTTACCAACTGGATTCTGCCAAGCCCTAGGGTTCCCTGGAAGTGCAGTGAGTGGGGAAGTAGGGCACTGAAAGGCAGAGCTCTCAGTTCTGCACTTCAACCACAGCGCCCTTTATGTACTGAGCTTCCTTACAAAACTCCATCTGAGTCCAGTGTGCAACAGCAAAATGACAAACTGGGATCACATTACAGATGCTCCTCGACTTATGATGGGGCTACATCCTGAGAAACCCAACACACGTTGCAAATATTGTAAGTTGAAATTGCATTTAATACACCTAACCTACCGAACGTCGTAGCTTAGCCTAGTGACCTTAAACATGCTCTGAACTCTTACATTAGCCAACAGTTGAGCAAAATCATCTGACACAAAGCCTCTCTTATAATGAAGTGTTGAATATCTCATATAACTTATTGGATACTGAAAGTCAAAAACAGAATGTATTGGTACTCAAAGTATGATTTCTACTGAATGAGTATTGCTTTTTTTTTTTTTTGAGACAGTCTTGCTCTGTCACTCATGCTGGAGTGCAGTGGTGTCATCTCGGCTCACTGCACATTCTGCCTCCTGGGTTCAAGTGATTCTCCTGTCTCAGCCTCCCAAGTTGCTGAGATTACAGGCGCACACCATGACACCTGGCTAATTTTTGTATCTTTAGTAGAGATGGGGTTTCATCATTTTGGCCAGGCTGGTCTCGAACTCCTGACCTCAGGTGATCTGGCCACCTTGGCCTCCCAAAGAGCTGGAATTACAGGCATGAGCCATCATGCCCAGCCTGAGTCTTGCTTTTGCACTATCATAATATTAAAAAATTGTTAAGTCAAACTGTCAGAAGTTGAGGACCATCTGTAGTTTGAAAATTATACCCTGTTAAGACTTTTAAAGGTGAAAAGCCAGCTTCATCTCCAGATCTTCCCTGCCCTGCTTCACTGATGCTTGCTGTTCTTTGTGCAGTGAGAAAGGAAACCTCGGCAAGTTCTCTGACCTCTCTAAATGTGTTTCTTACGAAGCAAAAACCAAAACCCTGTCTTATTGTATATTCTCAATTACATCATTTCTTCAAGCCAGGACCAAAAATCCCTACCATTCATCATCACCATCATTTCATAAAGAACATTTTAATGTAAAAAATACAAGTAAAAGCTTTATAAAACAGTCCTCATTTTCCTTATTTTACTCCACTGGTGAAACTTTCTCATGAACTAACACTGGAGTGTGTGCTGGTCTGGTGCAGCCTCCTCATCAAATGCCCCAAGGGCTCCAGGTGGCCATTTGGCCAAGGCTGACCATCTTCAATGACTGGCCATGGCATTCCATCCTTAAATGCTTCATCTTTGGAGCTTAAGCAATAAACTGGTACAATGGAAAATGCATGGATTTTAGAGTCAGGACTGGGTTCAAATACTGTCTCTCATCCTCACAGGCTATTGAGCATTTGAAAAAGCGCTAGTGCAGCTGAAGAACTGCTCTTTTATTTACATTTTATCAATTTAAATTTAGGTGGCCACATGTGGCCAATCGGGCAGCGCAGGTCTAGACACTGTATTTCCTATTAAGGTAGTTTATGGCCACATCAGTGTTTTGGAGTAACTATCTTATACTGCCAACTTGGCAGTGTTCTCTAAACCAGCTGAAATCTTCTAAGTCTTCCTCATTTGTACCTAGGCAGTCAGATCTTTATTTCTAAATGTAGAAAGTTACATTCATCTCTGTTAAGTTTCATCTTAGTCTACTGCTTTAGTTTTTAAGCAACAGAAACAATCTTTAATAGAAACTTAATTTGTATTTATTTGAGACAGGGTCTTGCTCTGTCACCCATGCTGGAGTGTAGCAGTGTGATCATAACTCACTGTAGCCTTGACATCCTGGGCTCAAGTGATCCTCCCACCTTAGCCTCCCAAGTAGCTGGGACTACAGACATGTGCCATCATGCCTGCCTAACTCTTGTATTTTTTTTTTTCTTTTTGTAGAGCTGAGGTTTTGCCATGTTGCCCAGGCTGATCTTGAACTTTTGGGCTCAAGCGTTCCTTTGGCCTCCGCCTCCTTTCAAAGTGCTGGGATTGCAGGAGTGAGCCACTGTCACAGCTGAGATTTTTTTAAAAAGATCTTTACTGTTATCCTAAGTATCTGTAGCAAGTGATAATAGCATATTCTGAGAGCTAAAATATTTAATTTTTCACCACTGTGGCATGACTATACACACATCACCACAATCAGACTTTTTCTCAACCTCACATACTACAGAAACATCTGCTGGAAGGGTGAGGGGAGGGCGCACTACTTGTGGCTCCTCTCTCATCTAGTAGAACTAGCTACTGATTTCAGATACAGACTCAAACGGAAATGAGTGGTAAGAGTCAGGAGTTTTAGGTATGAGGCTGACGCCAGGTAAGTTTTTATTATATTTAGAAAAAAAAATGTAACTGGAAATAAAGACAAGTCATTTAAAATGAATGAGAGTTTTTAAACCCCTAAAATTCTTTAATGGCAGCATTTGGATCCACTGCCCAAGCCACTTTTAACCCAACCAAGATGCTGGAAAGCAGAGCACACGGTTGTGCCCACCAAGCCCAGGAGGGCGATGGACCCCAGGGCTCCTCGACTACGTTTGCTGGGTTCTGAAAAAGAAGAAAGAACAAGTTACCAGGAGTGCTCCAGAATTACGATGCTTTCAACATTCGCGAGTCATTCTGTCATGGCATCTGAGGTTGTACGTTAGACAAACTGGCCTTAGGAGGTTAACTAACTCTTCAGCCTGAAGCTGTTGGCAAGTCAGATACCACATGCCAAGTAATGTGCCACAGTAGTAATGCCTGGATCTTAGAAAATTATGGCATAATAATTACAGCAACTTTGCTCCAGGACCTTTGGAAGGAGTTGCCTCTGTTTCAAAGAAATACGGCCAAAAATGGCTTTTCCTCCTCCTTACTCAGATATAGCAGGTATAGTAATGGTGAGGCTCTGGAGTTGAACTGCATGGATTTGATTCCTAGTTTACTAGTTTATGCTTAGTAGCTCTGTGACCTACAGCTTTAATCATGCTGAGTCCCAGTTTCCTAATTTGTAAAATGCAGTATCTATATTACAGAATTGTTGTAAGGTTAAATAACATATGCAAAGTTCTTATAGTGGTTGGCATATAGAAAATGCTCAATAAAAGTAAGTTTTGTTACAATTGAAAAATAAAAAGAAAACAGACCTTTTACCTAAATATCAAGTGACTTCCCCTTTTCTCGAATTCCCAAGAAGAAAAATACAGTAGCTAAGATTTTATTTTTTTGAGACAGGATCTTGCTCTGTCTCCCAGGCTGGAGTATAGTAGTGTAATCATGGCTCACAGCAGCCTGAAACTTCTGGGCTGAAGCAATCATTCCACCTCAGTCTCCCAAATAGCTGGGACTACAGGTGTGCACCACCAGATCCGGCTAATTTTTGTATTTTTTGTAGAGACAGGGTTTCACCACATTGCAGAGGCTGGTATCCAACTCCTGAGCTCAAACAATCTGCCTGCCTTGGCCTCCCAAAGTGCTGGGATTACAGGTGTAAGCCACTGTGCCTGGCCAGCATAGGATTTAAAATTTAGAATTTGTTTCCTTGGCAAATGTCAATATATACTAACCTCCTGTGTAATAGCCATAAGCATAAAGAACTCGTCCAACAATCCAGGCCAAGCCCAGGCCGGAAGCTATACGCTAAGAAAAAAGGGCTACATTAGTATTTGCATGAAACAAACAAGCAAACCTTTATTAACATCTAGGGTTGATTACACAATATGCTAGAAAAAAGTTAGTAATTTCATGGTTTGGCTAACCACTCCCCACCCAAACTAGGTAGAATTAACTTAGTTTCAGTCAGGAAAATAAAATATCTGTGATTCTTCTATGAATGGCTTGGCTTGTGGACCTCAGAGATGAGTACTGGCCTTCTCCTAGACAGGTGGAATGGAAGGAATCCCCCCACTTGCCCTGGGCATCTTGGGGAACTTGTGCTAGAGCAAGAGAAGGACATGTGGGCCAGGCGGTCTCAGGGCAAGCCAGAAAAGGGAACTGCCCCAAAGTCAGGACTAGGGGAAATGCCGTTTTCTCAAAACCTCTGAGCATGAGACTGACTGAAGACTCAGCTGCTGTTCTATGTAAAGTCAGTCACTGGCAGGGATGGGTACAGGTGGTTCTGCAGGCTACACTAGGGGTGTAGCTCCACTAGAAAGAGGGGGAGAGCTTCTTGTATTGTGAACCCCAGAATACATGGTCTTCGAGAGAAAAGTCTCCCTGTTCCCAACGCCCTTGAGAAGAGAGAATAAAAACTTAGAAGAAAAATCCATCCCTTTGGCTGCCATGCTGGGGTGACTTCTTTGGTTAAAAAAAGCAAGGAGAGAACACAGAAGAGAGCGTGTGAGAAGGCCGCCTTCCCCAGTGTCTTTCCCACTCAGCAGTGCTACTACTGGTAGGGAAAAGGTTACTGCATCGGGGTTTTTGTTTGTTTGAGTTGACTTTGGGTAATGTTAAATATCAACAGGAGGGTGAAACAAATGAAAACAAACGCCAGTCCCTCAAGTCACAATGTAGCAGCTCTAGCCTCTGCCGGGCCCTTCTTTACTATAATGTTGCCTAATGACTGGCAACCTAGGAACAATTGTTAGGTGCTTGTCCCCAGACTAGCTCTTATTTTTCAGAACGACCCACAAGGAATGGGGTCCAGGGATGTGAGATAGGAATGGGGATGGAGTGGGGACACCAAATGAGGCCTAATCTAGAGACCTGGGCTATTCAGATCAGCTAGTCTAGTCACTCGCTAGGAATGGGGGTCTTGAGAGGCACCAGAAAGATACCCTTTCCTAAGAGATACAAGAGCAGTAGATGTTTCTTTGAAAAAAAATGCAGGCCTTCAAGGTCATGAGCAGTAGATGTGCCATTCTGGCAGCTTTTTAACGAAAGTACCAGGCATTCAGGTATGGACCAGATGGTTAGGAAAGGCTTAGCACCAGAAGTCTGAAGGGCCACCACTCTGGTCAGGACTTAATTTCAGGAGATAATCTGGCCTCGGAAAAGGGAACACTTCTGTCCAAGACAAGACCCAAATGACAATTAATTAGAGGCAGATAAACGTGCTTTATTTAGATATGTTTAAGTGCAGACTACATCTCTAGTCCACAGGGCCATCTATACCGCAGAGGCCTGCAAGGCCCTGGTGATCTGCCTCCTCACCCCTCTGCCCTCTGTTGCTGACCCGCTCCTGGCTCCACTGGCTTCTCACTGCTCACCAAACAAACCAGACAGGTGCCTGCCTTGGGCCTTGCTTGTCTTCTGGCTGGAGGTTGGGAGACACGTGCAGCACCTGCTCCCTCACGTCCTTTTACACTTGCTTAACTATCATCTCAGCAAGGCCCCCCTCCCTGACCACCCTATTCAAAATTATCCCACTCCACACCCCCTTTCCACCTTTGCTGCTTTGTTTTCTTCTCTGCACTCACCACCTCCTAACACATGATGTCATTTACTTAGGTTTTGCTTTTTGTCTGTGACCACCCCATCCCCTACAACAAAAAGGCAAGCTCTATGAAACCAGGGGTCTTTGTCTGCTTTGATCACTGCTTTACCCCAGGTGGTGAGTGACAGTTTGCTGTGTGAATGAATTAATACAACAAATGAACTCTCATAGACATGAAACTTAGAACCAGACAGACCTGGGTTCAAATTCTAATCCTTCTACTCTGTAGCTATTTGACCTCGTGAAGTTTAAATAGTATCTGAGAGGCTTTACCTTATCTGTAAAATATGAGGAAAATCCCACCTACTTTAAAGAACTCTGTAAGAAATAATTGAATAAAATCCTTTTAAGTATACGGTGCCTAGACACTGAAGATATTCATTCCATGTTTATTTCCTCCTTCTGTCCCTGATAATAGCTCAGTGAACTACATCCAAACAGATGAACACCTCCTGGAAAACTTACCGGGTGGTAAACACCTCCAACAGCTAGAAAAAATAAGAAGGGAGGATACACTTCCAACCTGGAATTGACAGAAAGAAACTTTTAAAAAGTGCCCTTTTTAAGTATGCCTGTGTAGAATTATGAATCTTTTTTTTTTTTTTTTTAGAAAAGACGGAGTCTCTCTGTCGCCCACGCTGGAGTGCAGTGGCGCAATCTCGGCTCACTGCAACCTCCGCCTCCCGGGTTCAAGTGATTCTCATGCCTCAGCTTCCTGAGTAGCTGGGATTACAAGTGCCTGCCACCATGCCTGGCTAAGTTTTGTAGAGATGGGGTTTAGCCATGCTGGCCAAGCTGGTCTCCAACTCCTGACCTCAAGTGATCCACCCACCTCAGCCTCCCAAAGTGCTGGGATTACAGATGTGAGCCCACCTCACCCGGCCAGCACTATGAATCTTTACATCTTCCTTGCCAAGTTAGAAGCTTGGCGGTAAAAATAAACATTGACTGCAGGGAGAAGACCTGGTCACTAACATCCACCCTCCTTTGCTCCGCATGGGATTAGAGGTCACTTGGAACATGCTGAGTAAAAGGACCTCACATCTAACCAATGGAAGTGGAAGGTCCTGGGGAGTCACAGTGGGTTTCCTTACAGCATTCAAAACCTCTTTACTCCCTAGGCCTGGGAGAGTCAACATCAGTTTAGATGGGTCATGCTGCAAAACTGTAGCAGGTAATGCAACCATGAAGACATTTTTTGAAAAGAATATCCAGAAATCCCACCATTCCAACCACTCTTCAGTTTGCTTAATAGTCAATGTGTTCGCATACATAATTTTTGAAGACTTTTAATGAGGTGCCCATGATTATCACCGTCACTATGACTCAGCAGATACAGCGCACTAAGGGCTGAGGTGTTAGACGGAAAACACCCACTCTGCAGATATCTTTGGTGCCCGGCAGGGCCGACACTCACGTGTTCTGGTGGGCTCGCTGGATGCAGTTGAAGAGGTGCCCATTTTCAGGGTCCGTGCTGTACATGGTAGGATACTGTCACAACAACGCACATACTGATTAGATGGTCAAGAGGAGCATTCAGTGTTGAAAGTTAACATCAACCTTAAAAATAATATATTCCAAAGTATCTTCTTTCACACCCTGGATAGATGACCATTCGATTTCTGCTTAAATATTTACAGTGACAAGGGTCTCAATTCTCAGACGCAGATTCAATGTTTCTATTAAATATCCAGGAATAAGAACGTATGTCTGCGCTGTAGTTGCACAAGGGGAAGAGGCAGCTTTGTACCAAGCTCTGCTTTTCATTGACGTTAAGCATCAATGGTGGATTTCAGATGCATTACAAAGATACCGTAGGGAAACAGAGCCTTCCTAAGAGTCATCAAATACCACATCCTTTTAAGATTTCCCTTAATAGAAGAACAGAAATTGAGTGCGTGAGAATCTTAATGGAAGTGTCCACTGGAAGGGAAAAAAAAGAAGAAACTAAATATAAAAACTTAAAAGAAGCTCTAGTAAGGGAGTTTAATGATTAAGTTGCTAAAGAGAAACAGACATTTAAAATGGCTCACCAGGGACAACCTTAGTAATTATCCCTCGTGGATCACCTAAAACTAAGGGAAGTATTTAATAGACCACCTTCCTATGTCTAAGTCCAGGCTAATCTCAACACCACATACCTCTTTTCTACTTGGAAAACAGGAAAATCATCTTACGACATCATTTTTAAAGTGGCACACCATGAAACAATGTTGCTATTTAACCCACTGTAGAAAATACAGTAACTCTCTTCCTAGCAAATAGCTCCAGCCAAAAGTGTGCTACTGGAATCCCAGCATACCTGGTCTTTCTACAGAAGAGACAAAGTCAAACAAGATGGAAACTACTCCCTAGCAGGGCCCCATATTTCTTGCCTCTTTCCCACCACGAAGAAGCAGAATCGCTAATAGATACAGTCCTGAAACTGCCACTTTTCACAACTAACTCCTTGCCTCTCCCTCCATCGCTGAAAACAAGTTCTTGGCTAAGCCTGTGGCCCCCAGACAAACCTACAAGGGTACCAGCTTGTGTTCCCACTTACCTCCACTTTGTACTTCTTGCGGGCCTTGGAAACATTGATGGCTAGGTGGGCCACCATTATAAAGCTGGCAGCACCAGTTAGAAGCACAAAACCATATTCCTTAGAGAGGACAGCCATCTTGCGTCTGTGGAAGAAAGAACATGTTGGGACAGCTCCCAGCACTGTGGCTATTTCATGGTGTGAAGCCTTAGGGAGCAAGATGCTTTATTAATGGGAAATGCATAAATAGAGACCAAAAAAAGGTGTGAGTCAATCTGATGTTTCTAAGAAGTCATCAGGGACAGTACCATATAAAATAATTTAAAAACTACTCAACTATGCAGTCTATACACAGAAAAGTATACAATCATGTATCTTTTTTTCTCTTTTGTGCCTGGGAGATTCTGATCAACATTATGAGATTTATCTACATCACTGCAGTAGTCATTGCTGTAGAATAATATAGCCAACAAAAATCACATTATTGAAAAAATATTTAACATGGTAAAATGCTAAAGTGTACATTACATAGGGAGGGGGAGGGAGGGAGTGAGGGGAGCAGGGCTTGGTGGGGAAGAGGGATGGAGAAGGAAAGAGAGGGAGGGGAAAGAGGAAAGGGGAAGAGGGGGAGTGGGGGAGAGAGAGAGAAAGCAAGCAAGAAACTAAGCATCCAAAATAGTATATGCATAAGTGATTCCAAGTTTTTTGCCTTTAGGCATGGGGGACACTGTGAGGGCAGGACTCCCTGAGGCCTCCCTTCGACCCTGGGGCATGTGCAGGTGCAGCAGCAGACATCTCACACAGGGGAAGATGTGTGAAGGCCCAGGCTGAGTACTTTGAAAGCAGAGCATGGCTCCTGAGCCTATGAGGCTTTGGGCAGCTCCTAAGAACCCAGATTGCCCAACAAATCATCACTTCAAAACTAGCCCCATGTAGAGTTCTGATGGCTGCGACTTATTTTGAAATGCATTTTAAAAGGATGATGCAAATCAATACAGCAAAGTATCAGTTGTAGATTCTAGGTGTTAGCTATACGGACAGTCAATGTCCGATTCTTTCAACTTTTCTGTATGTTTGAAATGTTTCATGGTAAAATGTTTGGAGAAAAAGCTAATCCGAGCTCATTTCCCATTGTTCAGCGTTTTCAGCTAAGTTATTGTCCTGCCCCTGGAGGAAAGGAGAGAAAGAAAGAAAGGGACTGGGCAGCAAGAACAGAACTTGGCAGGTGGGAGTGAAAACAATCCCATGGTAAATTGGTGCTGCCCCTCCAACCGCTCTGAGCTCTGACCACCAGATGGAAGAAGGGCCAGAGCATGACGGGGCCCAAAGAAGCGGGGAGCATGTTTCAAGGGATCGCTCGTGGGCTGCCTATGGTGGGCAAGGCCTCCACGAGCCAGCAGCTCCAGTGTGTGTTCTGCCTTCAGCTCTAAAATTTCCATCCCTGGTAACTGCCTGGCTTCAATCCCTGCTTTTAACTTAGGAGGGTTACCCCGCTCTGGAATGTATCTAATCGTTCTAACAAACCAACTAACAAGATGGTAAATCCTTATTTTCAAAAGAGGTTAAGTAATGTTTCCAAGGTGTAAAACAGACAGTGACAGACCTGGGACCCCCATTCAGATTCATTTGGTTCCAATATTCCCTTTCAGTATCACTTGAAAATTTAGAGTCAAACTGACACTGTGGTCAGAGCATCTGCCTTAAAATAGAATTTGGGGTAGGCATGCAGCTCAGTTCATTAAAAGTAAGTTTCTCTTAGCTCAGCAAAATAGGCCTAACTTCCTTTTTTTTTTTTTTTTTGAGACAGAGTTTTGCTCTTGTCGCCCAGGCCGGAGTGCAGTGGCATGATCTCAACTCACTGCAACCGCCATCTCCCGAATTCAAGTGATTCTCCTGCCTCAGCCTCCCGAATAGCTGGGATTACAGACGCACGCCACCACACCTAGCTAATTTTTATATTTTTAGTAGAGACGGGGTTTCGTCATGTTGGCCAGGCTATTCTCGAACTCCTGAGCTCAGATGATCCACCCACCTCGGCCTCCCAAAATGCTGGGATTACAGGTGTGAGCCACCGCACCCAGCCTAACAGGCCTAACTTCTAAAAACCCCTCCTCCCCACCATGGTTCACAATAATTCTCATCAGTCTTCCCCTTCTACAGCCTTCACTCTGAGCTGCTCTCTGAGGCAGGCCTGCTGCTCCTCCCAGGGCTGGGGGCACACACTGCAGTGGGCTGGCTCCACAGGTCAGCAGATCCTGGCCTGTCTGGGCAGCTGCACAGAGCAAGGAGTCTCTGGCTTCCCTCCAAGCTTCCTTGCCCACATTCTCTTCCCAAGTGTAGAAAGTCAGCATGAAGAGGAAGCCACAGTAGTTAGTAAAAGAAATACAGCGTATGAATTCCAAACACCTCTTTGAAAATAAATAAAAATGACTGAACCTCCAGCCTATCCTTAAATTCAACACATTTGGGGCAAACAGGTCATTTAAAATAAAGCTGCCACCTGGGCACGGTGGCTCACACCTGTAATCCCAACAATTTGGGAGGCCAAGGTGGAAGGAACACTTGAGGCCAGGAGTTTGAGACCAGCCTGGGCCACACAGGGAGACTCTCATGTCTACTCAGGAGGCTGAGGTGGGAGGATCGCCCGAGCCCAGGAGGCTGAGGCTGCAGTTAGCTATGATTGCACCACTGCACTGCAGCATGGGACAACAGAGCAAGACCCTGCCTTAAAAAAAAAAAAGGTGCCTCTGTCAGAAGCAATAAAATTTAAGGACAATAAAATTAAGCATATTTGCTTTAGGTCAAAGTTCGCAAATCAAGAGTCAACTTTCAGACTCTAATCTTTGGACAGGATGCTGGGCTCCCTGGCTACGTGCAGGGCTACCTTGTGCCAGCCCAGCACTTTTCAGCTCACTTTTACTCTTCACAAAAATCCTATTTGCTCCACTTTATAGAAAATGAAATAGAGGCTCAGTAAATGAGGGCAGAGCTAAGACCAGAGCAGGTTTTAGAATTCTCCCCCAAAACACTCCAGCTAGCCCAGGCAACACATTCAAATGTGGTGGCTTAGTCAATGACTTCTATTTTTCTTAATTTTAAGAGGTTAAGGTAGGTAGGTGGCAAGATAGAGAAGTGCCTCTTGCATAGATGTCTCTGTCACAGCAAAGCAACTGCTCTACAATCTACAGTTAGAATCTACAATTAGAAATTCATATTTACTACTGAGCTCCTCTTTTAAAGCATAAATGCAATCTGTGAGGTTAAACCTGACGGGCATTTGCACCCTAGTGAAAGTTACTCTCCTCAGACTTTGTTAAGGTATGTTATGGCGTATGAATCTGGATGAGGACAAGCAGAGCCGGGAACAGTTAGGACCTTGGAAAGGCAATGAATTCACAGTAAGGGTACCCAGCTACAGCAACGGTTTGCAGAGGATGCATACTCAGTCACAGGGACAGTGTAAGTGCCTGGGGCAGCAGCCTGCCTGTTCTCCCTGAGGGTTCCCCCGCACGAGCCACAGACACATCTGCATAGGTGCAGGAGCAATGCCTGAAAGGCTGCCTGCGTGAAGGGCAGCAGAACGGCCCTCCCTGACACTGCCTTGCACTCCTACCAAGTGAGGTGTCCTGCTTTATATGCCATAACAACCTTCACTTAAAACAGAGCAGGACCATGTTTGTCTGCATCTTCCATGCCAAGCACAGTGTGCACGCTCGTAGATACTTACGGAATAAATGATTTGAGCTGCAACTCCAGGTGTCTTTCAGAATGACCACCACCACACGCCCCCTCCCCTGAACACACACCTGAGATCATCTCTATCATCTGGCACAGTGTCTGGTATAAAGTACGCACCTAACCAATTTAAGTTTCTGTTTCTTCCCTCAAAAGTATCTGTTGAAACCACGGAAGAAACTGAATGTATTTAGGAAAGACTGGCTTATGACTAATCCAGAAAGAGAAATCTTAAGAAAGAGGAATTCAGAACACAGAGAAAACTCTGTCATAGTTGCTGAAAAATTGTTAAATCTTCTCTTTCAAGGAAAGAATCAGCTTAATTAAATCAACATTCAAAAAAACTATCATTTGTTAAATCATTATTTTCTGAAGATACCAAGGTGAACAGGCAGATATTCCCATTCCTTAGAGAGTAGCTTTTGTGTGTGTGGGTGTGCACCAGGAAGGGGATGCAGCTCAGTTCACAGTGGTCACACCCTAGGCAGCCGCAGCCACACCCTGGGTTGTGCCAGCCCCAGAGGTAGCAGATTGCTTCCAGGGACAGGGTGGAAGAACTGATAGCTGGCACCCCACTCATCTCTGGCACGAGCACTCATTTGAACTGCACACCACATTTTGCTGATTATATATCTGCTCTGTGTCACCAGAAACCCTTTTATGGACCTAACAAGATAAGGTTCTTGAGAGTGGGAACTTTGCCCTTGACTTTCTCTTCTGCATAAGGCTAGAGACCCAGTCCAACAGTCCTTTCTGAGCTGAACTTTAATACAGGTGTAGATGACTTTGCAATTCACTTGGTTATATCGTAGCATTTGTTAATCATTATGCAGTTTCCTGGATTAGTCATAAACCAGCAGTATAAATTAGTATTTACAAACTGAAACCTTCTACCACACACAGCCATGGGTTTCAGTGATGGACTGCATATTTAACAATGGCCCCACAAGACTGTAATGGAGCTAAAAAATTCCTATTGCTTAGTGACCTCATAGCCACTGTGCCATTGTAACATCATAGTACACTGCATCATTCACATGTTTGTGGTGATGCTGCTGTAAACAAACCTACTGCGCTGCCAGTCATATAAAAGTATAGCATGTGGCCGGGCGCGGTGGCTCAAGCCTGTAATCCCAGCACTTTGGGAGGCCGAGACAGGTGGATCACGAGGTCAGGAGATCGAGACCATCCTGGCTAACACGGTGAAACCCCGTCTCTACTAAAAAATACAAAAAACTAGCCGGGCGTGGTGGCGGGCGCCTGTAGTCCCAGCTACTCCGGAGGCTGAGGCAGGAGAATGGTGTGAACCCAGGAGGCGGAGCTTGCGGTGAGCTGAGATCCGGCCACTGCACTCCAGCCTGGGTGACAGAGCGAGACTCCGTCTCAAAAAAAAAAAAAAAAAAAAAAAAA